TGAGAGAGTTCAATTTGTTAATCTTACATTGGCTTATTGTCAGCAGAGACATTGGTACTCATACTAGATGTGGGTTCATAAAAGCAAAGTGTATTGTTTAAGATTATAAATAATATAACTCATTTAAATATTTATATTTCATGTCGACAATAACAAAAAATTTTAAAATAAGCTTGATTATAAACTTGTCTTTTGCACATGTTGCGGAATAAATACAATTGTTAATAATTTATAATGATAACATTTTTTTATGAATTTTATATTGTATATATATATAGATATGGTTAAAAAAAATTAATAGCCAATCAAGCTGGCCGCGAGGTTACTATTAGACTATTAAAGGACGTAAGGGTCTCTGTCAAAGAGTCAAAGTACAGTTGTCATCATGCAAATGTAACCGTCCGTGTAAGCTCAATGCTCTCTTTATAATGTAGTCAATAATCTATGGTTGGATAAGACTCAGAGATCCATTGGTTGTGTACAGTGTTTTGTTAGTCAGCAAGTGATAAAGAGTCGCGAGCTCTTCCTCTCTTACCCAAGCTGCCTGGAGAGAACTCGGGAGCCGAGGGATGCATTTAGCGTCTACCAATTTGGCGTTAATACGGGGAGGCCGCCCGAAATAAAAATCGACGACGACGACAGAAACAGTAATCAGAAATAAGCAGAGGAAATAAAGGGCATGATCTCAACAGTGGTTGAGAATTCGATTATTTGATTAGATATATTTTTTGAAAAAATTCTTGTCAGCATTTCATGGATGGAATAATGCGAATAGCCGAAAATAATGAGTTGTTGGGGATGTGGAGATCAAGTGCAGAGGCAGAGAAAATATCTGGGGTGTTAGAGTATAACGCGGAACCGTTAACTAGTTTGTCCTCTTTCTCATAATGGTTAGTAAGGATATCGACATAGCGTAAAATGCCATCTCAACACTTGTGAATGATGATGGTGAGATATGACTGAATAATGAAGTATCCCTCCTGAACTGAAGTCTGAAAGGGAATGCCCAGCTGCAGAGGCACCTTGCCTACCTAATTTCAAGTCGCCTCTGATGACCACTTACTCATTGGCCAGCTCATTCAACCCGACAAAACACATATGATCTCGTCAACAATATATCCACCTCACCCCGTCCTTCTCAACAACAACTATACGTGAATACATCGTAAATTAAATGTTAAGATGGTTATCAAAGGTAGCTAGATTTTTTTGTGTGTGTTCCTGGTCTGGGAATTTTCAAGGCCAGTACAGTGCCGTTCGTCAAAGGGATTGATCTTGCTGTTCTCAGGACACTGTCAATCTTATCTTACCCAAGACCAGGAGGGTTGCTTCGTCAACCGACCCTACGGCATTATACCAGATCTCGAATCATCAGTATCAGCATTTATCAGGCACTTTTTAGATAAAGACGTGATATTCATATCACTACGCTAGCTTACTGTCACTCGCATAATAGTTTCAGACAGATTCTTGTCACCATCACGAGGCTCACAGTGACCCGTTATTTTATAAAGTCTTTTCCTTTCGGCCAATAGGATATGAGGACATCAAACGGTATGAGTGTTAGGTATGGGTTGGGTGGGTAGTCTTGTGGATATACGCGCGCACACATACTTGGCACTGCATGTGAGCTATGCGACAAACCTAGCGACGACCACACCGATTATGCAATCTGACAAGGCAAGTGGGCATCATATCAGCAGCGCAAATGATGCATGTAAGCATCTTAAATTTCTAGCTACTATTTGATGCTACATAGTATGTAGAGTGTGTGTGTTGATCCGTGTATCGGGAAAATACATACGAGTGGGAATCTTGCGCTTGGGTTGAAGCCAGCCATGCCGTAAAGTGGAATCCAAATACTACTTTGTTTTCTGGCCTAGGTATCAGTATCAAAGACGATTTTGAGGCTATGAAGCTTTTTATAGGAGCTAGCAGCTAGTCAGTTTTATGAGGGAAAGGAGAGGAATCCCATTCAGTGAGAAGATAAAGATGAGTATATGCAGATCATACTTGACCCATTTGCGCACAATCTAATAAGTGGAAATATTAACACATGAATGTATATGCAAGTGTTGAATTGAGTTCCACGACGAAGCGTGAAGTGGACGTCAAACAATGTGGGACAAATTACAACTAAGGGGAGCAAATAGATCCACAAATGAGATAGTAATTACAAGTGGAACAATGATTTGAAAGCATGGAAAAGATGAACAAATTTTCTACCACTTTCTAGTCTTGGAATGAGGAGAGAAGGGTAATGATGGAGTGATATGTGATTTAATGATTGTAAAAAGAAAACAAGCAAAAAACAAAAGATTTAGTCCTAGATTCGCTTTGGAATTGGATACATCCAACCAATGTGTGGCCACCGTAAGTCACACCCACTCGTACCAGAAAGTGTAGGTCCTACGCCTCTCCTTCAAAGCCTGTTAGGTCCCCACGACCACACCAGATTCCCTTTCCCACCCTTCACCTTATTTTACTCCTTTTTTTTTTTTTTTTTCAAATTTAGCTGAAAAAGAACTGATAAGATGATTCATGAGACACGTGAAGAATGAAAGCGCCGGGACAGGGCACAGAAACAGGGCATGAACTGAGAGTAACTTTTATGGTAAAGCAGGGTTCACACACAGAGTCACAGAGACAGAGGACATTGGATTGGAGAGATCCACAGGTATTGAGTCATTGTTTTACCGGAAGTTGTCGGTAGTGGGTAAGCAAATTGAGATCCAGCGTCGGTGAGTGGAGGGTGGGTCCCCTGATACCATGGCCACTCTCTCATCGTCTCATTCTCTGTCTCTCCATTTCCATTTTCCCATGGGTCGGTGAGAATGCCTATTATTATGTCTCAACTCTTTTTAAAGGTCTGCTTATTTGTTAATTCCATTTTATTTTGGGTGACAATTGGGATATTCATATTCTTAACTGCAAGTTGGAGTGAAAAATGAATGATGCAAAAGAAGATGCATGAACGCAGAAGCTTGGCCTAGAGAAGGACAACCATATAGCTCCCTTTAGTAGGCGCCATACCCCGAACAAATAAATAAGACAGTTTCTGTACATTCTCTCACATACTTTGTCATTTATCTTTTTTTCTCTTTTTATTAAAAGGGCATCCATTAATAGGATATTAAGATAAGGCTATAAACAATATTGAATCCCTGATCTTTCACTTAAAAAAAAAAAAAGGAGGACCTTTTCGTGCTACAAAACTATGAGAGTTGGAGAGAATTGTAATTCAAATTGTAGAGGCCGGGTCTACAGTGATCCACTGCAAATCACCTCACGCCTTCTTCCATAGACTCTTGGGTGACTGGTGATAATTTTCTTGGAGCGTGGCAAGATGTATTAGACTCGTTTAGAATGATTTATAAAGAGTTTTTAAACTAAAATTTATATTATATTATATTATATAGGCATGTGAGAGAAACTTTATCTTAATTTATATAAAATTTATTTATAAATAATTTTAGTCACGATTCCAAAACGGGCCCCTAGAGTGTTCGGTTGAGAAAGTTGACCCGCATGGGGTGATTTTTCATAAACCTCATCATCTCCATCTTCTCTTTCTCTTCAAGCGATCCTCCGATCGAAAGCGAGTCCTCAAACGATGGCATAATGATAGCCTCATTGATTTTCAGGATTTAAAAAAAAAAAAAAACAAGAAGAAGAAGAGATAGCCTCGTTGATGATGGTCTGACAAATTCAACCGTTATATTTCACTTATATATATTGATTTTATATTATTCAGGAGTCATAATCTTGACCTTTAATATTTAAAATGCAAAAACCAAAAGTTCGTCGAAAGTGTGGGTATTATGATTATCGGATTGGTATGGAGCCATTTTAAAAGAATAATGTCTGATTCTGCCTTCAAAAACAAGGTTTCATAAAAATATATTATATATTACTTTTATTATCAAATGACGTAAAATCAGCTTAAATATCGTTTGGCCACATATTATTCGTTTATAGGGACTTAATTATGCATTTCGTCGTAATCGCCAGCCACAATTTATATATTAATAATAGAAAGATAACGCTAAAATAATATTGTCAGATTTATTAAAGAATGCCTATTAATAAATTCCGATCAATAAAATAAAGGAACCATTCCCTGATAAGTCGACAGGTGTACGAACCGACATTTGTACGAAGCATCTAATTAATAACCACACATATATCATTATTATTATTATTGGCTTCACTGAAAAAAATAACTACGGATGAAAAATTAAACTCCAAATTTTTTATTTTGGCCTTGAAAACTCCCTGCAATACATATATTTTTAAATATCGCCTACTAATTTTATAACAGTATTTTGAAAAAGTTGAGGAATGTTTCTTCATGACTCAAAATCCATGGACGTTATTTAAAAGTTGATCATGGATGAATTAAATTACCGTAATTAATAAGAAAAAGCGTAGTATAATTTTTTTGCAGAGCTGTATAATTTTTCTTGTCGTCAACTATCCAGCATATTTTGAGCACATATTATTCAGGAGACACAATAGTTCCCCGAATGTGGACTAAGGAAAAATAAAGATAGAATTGGTCAGTTTTTGTCCATAACAACCATAATAATACAGATTCCCAGTGTTTGGCAGCTCATATTGCTTCTCCTGAACGTAACAAAAACAATATACGGAAAACTGATCACCAAAAAAAAAAAGTCCACAAATTCCCCGTCCGAGGGAGATATCGAATTCACTCTTCAATCTAATAATGATTAATGACGACGCTTCAAATAATTATCATGAATTAAGATTTTAAAGCGTAAAAAGCTGGGTCATCAAAATTATTTTAAGATATATATTACCGTGGCGACGTGGCCCTACCAAAGAGTTAAAAAAATTACGCAGATGTAAGCCGGAAAACAAAAAGACATTTGCGTTTCACGTATTGTGGAATTAACTTGATGATTGGTGCGAGAGCTGAGATAGAAAGATGCTTTACGAATATTTTAATGAGACGAAGACGTGATTTTAGTTACAAAGGTTAGCGTCACAGATGAATAGAGCGAGTTCTCTTCAGTACGTACAGAAATGAGGCTGCGTCGTTGTGATCATCTCTCGGTCTTGTTAGAAATCACACTGAACCACGTATCGCTACCAAACAAATAGCCCTCTCATGGATTGCCATTCCTCTTCTCGAACTCTCAGCTTCCTTCTTCCTTTTCCTGTCCTTTTCCGGCCACTCCCTCTGATGATTCTGCCTCTCTAGCCACCGCTTCCTCCGATTCCCCCAAACCCAAGGTCTTTTCTCCTCTGCTTTTGATTTGTTTCCTTTGGATTCCGCTGCTTCATTGCGATTCCTAAGGTTTTGGTTCTCAATTTGGATCAGCAACTCCATGCACTGTTTTCTTTTTATCTTTCTCATGTTTTGTTTATGGGTTTATGCTGAGTTCAGCCAATTTTGGTGGTAAACAAGTCGAGTCCTCAACTTTTGGTCTTTGCCCTTTTTGTTCTTGTAGTAGGGGCGTCGCTTCACTCAGTTTGCTGTTTCTGGTCTTCTTCTAATTCTTTATTAAATTTCTGCTTAATACACTGATTTTTAAACATAAGCTGGTTTGTGCCGAAAATTTTCCCTCTTCTCAGGTCCGGAGTGCAGAAAAATCTTACTATTTCCTATTAATTGAGCAGAACAATTCAGTTTCCATAAAAACCAGCGGAAAAGAACGACGCAGAGAGGGATTCTTTGTTTTTAGCTACCTAGTAGATTCTACGAGGTACGAACCCGTTGTGGCTTCGTGGATCCCAGCTTTTCCAGATTCCCAGATTTTGGCCTACTTATGTTACATCTTTTTGCTTGTTTTCTTGAAGAAGAAAGTATGGGGCCCCCCTGTTTGCTTCGCAAGCCAATGGATGGCAAATAATGGAACGTTATAAGGTGGATATAGTATAGTTTCTTTGCCTTTGGCCTGCACAAAAGGGGTAGAGTACAGGAATGGCCATGCCGAGGTTCCTGTAATTGTGATTTGAGGCCGGAAGTAACGAAATAAAGAATTCCAGGTGCAATGCTGGAATTGTGTGGGGGAATGAATATCCTCGGCTACCTGTTTCAGGTTTTAGCCTTTTCTGATATTAAATTCTGGGATTCCGAGCTTTCTGACTCAGAAATTGTCTTTTGTTTGGTCACGATATCCCCCATACCCAACTTGCTTTTCCCTTATTCGGGTTCAGAGAAAAGTGTGGTATGCAAATATAATAATTGAGAAAGGAAGAAAGGGGGAAAAAAAAACCCTCCTTTCAATGGGCTGTTTCCAAATTTCTCTACCTGCTACTCATTCTTTTCGTGACCGCATGACCTCTACTCTGCTGGTCTTCGTCTAACTGTTATAAATTGAATTGCTTGTTTCAGAAGAGCTTCGTATAGAGAGTATCAGATTGCAGAAGGTGATTGATATGGGGCACTTATCGTCCATGTTCAATGGGCTGGCAAGGTCGTTCTCAATAAAGAAAGGGAAGAGTTCTCGGAAATGCGATGGTAGAGAAGCTGCCGAAGCAATGGCCAAGGAAGCTAAGAAAAATGACCAGATTCTCCGCACTTCTGGCACCGTTCATGTCCAGGGTTCCAATAACTTCGCCTCAGTTTTTTCCAAGAAAGGGCAGAAAGGAGTCAACCAGGATTGTTCCATAGTGTGGGAGGTATTTAGAAGTAAAAGAACACATCGGAATCTTAAATATCGAAAGCTGTAATGTAATCAATCCCGTAAATAAACATTATTGTTGATGCTGGTTGCAGGAGTTTGGATGTCAAGAAGACATGATGTTCTGTGGAATATTTGACGGCCACGGACCATGGGGTCACTTCGTGGCTAAGAAAGTAAGAGAGGCAATGGCTCCATCTTTGTTGTGTAACTGGCAGGAGACGCTTGCGCAGACCTCGCTTGATCCTGACTTCGACTTAGAGGATGAGAAAAAGCAACATCCTTTCAACATATGGAAGCACTCCTACTTGAAGACTTGTGCCGCCATTGATCAAGAGTTAGGGCGCTCGCGCAAAATCGATTCTTTCTACAGCGGAACGACGGCCCTCTCCATTGTTCGCCAGGTAATTAACTGCTTTTACCAATGTGCATTTCTGAGCCCCACGTGTTTCCATTTAAGCTCATGAGGCCTTAAATGCTGCAATGTCCAGGGTGAACTAATCGTTGTGGCAAATGTTGGTGACTCTCGGGCTGTATTAGCCACAACGTCAGATGATAATAGCTTAGTGCCAGTACAACTGACTGTTGATTTCAAGCCCAATCTGCCTGGTTAGTATTCTATGACTCTTTGCTGCCCTCACAACGTCGCATCTCAGTGTATGTAAGAAGATGATCCTTATTTTTTCCCTTCTCTGCAGAGGAGGCAGAGCGCATAATTCAGTGTCAGGGACGAGTGTTCTGCTTAGAGGACGAACCAGGAGTTCACAGAGTGTGGCTACCGGACGGAGAGTCGCCGGGATTGGCCATGTCCAGAGCGTTCGGAGACCACTGCGTGAAGGAGTATGGTCTGATTTCTGTTCCTGAGGTAACACACAGGACTATCAGCAGCAGAGACCAATTCGTCGTGCTAGCAACAGACGGGGTATACAAATATGGTCACCTCAAAGAAACATGGTTTTGCTTTGCTGTTTTCTTTGTCTAAAATCTAATGGTGCGAAGAAAATGTTTGATAGGTGTGGGATGTGATATCGAATGAAGAAGCGGTGCAAATAGTGGCTTCAACAGAAGACAGAGGGAAGGCAGCGAGGAGATTGGTGGAGTGTGCGGTGGGGGCTTGGAAGCGCAAACGAAGGGGCATTGCCATGGATGATATTTCCGCAATATGTGTATTCTTGCACCCTCCTCCTCCTTCTCTCCTAAAGTAGCATTCGCTCTAAGGCAACTTTCTGTTGCTTCGTCTAACCTTCTCCGTTCACATTATGATTAAGATCCGTTGCAATCTGTCTTTGTTGCTAACCCAATCCATCTAACTTCCCTGCTTCAAATCAACAATTTGACCGTTCATATCAAATGGTCACGCAGCTCTTCACTTTCATAACCAGTCTCCCTCCCTTGTTTAAGGTTTTCTTACTCATTTTATAAATATAAAATTAACTCACCCGAATCCTTATTAAAAATCTTTTACCATTTTCTTACTTTATTTTATATCCGTAAAAATTTAACTTTATATAAAATTTTAATTTGACCCATTAATATTGTAAGATGTTTTTTTTTTTCAATATTCCAAAACAAATACTACTAACTGAGGACGCTGGTATTGAAGTTTTAGATGTTAACACAACATTATCAATTAATGATATATTGAGTTTAAATCTTTGAAAACAATAATAATTGGCATAAAAGTATTATATAAGACTAATGATATTAAACTTAAAGGTGAATTCTATTAAAAGAAATGCTCCTTAACTATGCGGTAAATTTTATATTTAAAAATTGTGGGTACCTATAACCCAGGAAAAAAAGGGTGATGACACTAAATAAATTACATAATTTTAATAAATATGATTTAGTGATATTGGGTTATTGTTAATCATGGTGAGATGCGGAGCCCCGTCCGCAGTTATCGCTTATTACTTGTCCATGATTCCGTTCTGCCTTTCATTCTGTATAATACTCCTCCTATCTCATAGCTATTATTACTGACGAATTCACTGGTTTCGTTACGTTGATATCCAGACATTTTTTCAAATGTAGAATTTACCGCTTAGTTAGAGCATTTCTTTGCTCTGATTCTATTAAGTAATGATTGGTTTTTGCTTTGAATGAACTCGCGACGTGGTGCCCACAACAATCGTTGCGGCGTAGAGGTGGGCCTCGCATCTTCTTTCTGGGCCAATATTCAAACCCATAGTATGCTCAGTGGTGGGCTCCCATCATTTTTTTGGGCCTATGATTATATTGTTGTCAACGTCAACTTGTTTTCCGTTATGTTCAAATGAGATTTTAGACCTGAATTTGACATTAATATATTTGCATGCACAAGTGTTTGAATTATATAAAATAAAAATAATAATAAATATTGTTTTTACAAACTAAAATTAAGCTTTGGCATATTTTTTTAAATATGTCATGAGATTTTTTTTCCTAAAAAAAAGAGCTCGCAATAATGCTGATGACAGTGGGCTGAAAAGGAACCCGGTGCTCGCAAGGGATGGAAGTGTTGCAGCAAGGAGTCTAGTCAGCAGCATAACAAGTCTCCCTCCTATTAGGCAGGGAGGCCTCTGCATATTTTATTGTATGGCTTCCATCATCATAGTGAGCGTACCTTGGCCTATATCCATAGCGAATCATTTGGCTTGCTTTGCCAAGGCCGGGCATTTCTTTGCGTGTCACATGCACCACATGCTAACGTGCTCTGCATCAATATACTCTCTCTAGATCTCCACACAAATACTTTTTAACGTGAGAGTTAACTGCGAGTTGATTTAAAATTCATTTATCATGTTTATTAATTTTTTAAATTATTTTTATTGAAATATTAAAAAAGATGACTATAATTTTTTTAAAAAAATATATTATATTTTTTATAATTAACTAAATTATCTAACTTTTTTAATTTAATCAAATTAATTAAATAAGTTTCGCATTAAAGACTGGAGAAGTATTGGTAAGTCACACTTTATATTTGCTTGAATACTTGATTCATTTTCATTTTTATTCCCAATTGATTATATGCTTCTCACAGGTCACAACCTTTTTTCTTACTCACATTCTCCTGTCTCTTTTTCTATTTATTCTTTCTCTCACCCACACTTCATATACACAAAGATATATTCAGAACATATGTGTGTGGGATATATATCTCATATATTTATTATTTTTAATCGTCTTTTTAATTTATATAACGTCAGAGAGGGAGTATAACTTATGTGGCCATGATTGCAACGTGTATGGGTTGTTGTCAACATCAATTAGCAAGTCAAAATTTCCATGGAAAACAATGGAGGGATATCTAACTTTATTCTGGGCTTCTCCAAACAAAAGCCCCAACGTGGAAGAACAGAACAAGTGCCTGTGCTGACTTCAACAAGGAAAAAGGGGCGGGCAATAAAAAAGACGCTGAGGAGGAAAGTGGGCAGGCAAAGCAAAGAATAGCATATAGCCTCCTTCACCTCGCTGATACTAATTATTGTTTTACTTTACATGCATCGGCTAATGGCCGCCCTGAAAAGCCATGTAGCCTCCTTCTTTGCATAATTTTAACGCCACCTCCGCTGTGCGTTACAGTGCATTTTGCTCATATATCAATATCAATATCATTGTTGATATTGACTATAATTGCACCGGTCGTTTTATATATTGCCAGTCAAGAGATTAAAATTAAGAATATATACTCCTTTTGATTGTTACGGTGAGAATTATTGAGAAATTTCAAGTAAAAAATATAATTATTAAAAAATTCTAATGATAAATGAACAGTCTGTAATAACGAGTTTTAGGGTAACAAAATAATAACTGCTGACTTGTTATTAAGACTTATTAGTAATTATTTTATTTTTTTGGACCTTGTTGTAATTTTCTAATTTTTTATAAGCATCTCTAACCATTGCACCAAAACATAAATAACCGTGGTTAAGTCATTAATTTGTTATAAAAATGAGAGTAAGTAGAGAAGTGAAGGGCGACTATTAGGTTATGTGAGCTATGCAGTTACAAAACATGACCAAGGTAGGTGAGTTGAAGATGATGGGAACAGTGACTTGGCAGCCATACTGGCACTTAATAGGATGATTCAAATATGTGTTTAACTAATAAGGATTATTTTCTGGAAAAAAAAACAAGAATTGTGTTTTAAGCAAGTCAAAGGTGTAATGACAGAGTCACGCCATACTATATTTGAGAGATCAGAGTCATATGTAAATTAGAAGTCGAAAAAAATTAATTTTTTAAAAAAGTTTAAATTAACTACTTTAAAGATCTTCTTAGGATATCATATGTAAGATTTTCTACACGGAACATGGGAAGAGGAATAATAATAGGAATAATTGGGTGGAAAGTAAGCACATAAAAATGCCCATGTGGCGACAAACTCAGTTACGCACGATAACTTACTTGATATACGAAAATTCGCGATAAACAAATAATGGCAACTAACTTTTTCTCTCTCGCTTGTCAGACTGATGAATATTGTGCGTACCATCACGTTCTGGGCGCGTGAAGTCATTTGTTTTTCTGAGTGGACGTGAACTCATTTTTGGCGCTCTCTGAAAGCGACGGACAGTACATTTGCTGACGATGTCTATGGGCCCCACCCCGAATGGGTAATCTTATATCCCCCTCAATTCTCAGTCTCACCTAGTTAATGAATGCTCTTGCTCCTCCTCAAAATTTATTGTTCATTGTAAGTTAATTTTTTATTTTCAAATTGTCAAAGTATTAAAATTTATAAAAATATTATGTTTTTGCGATTTCACATATTTTATCCACTAAAGAAAGGAAGAAATATATTTATTTATAAAATTAAAATTTAAATATGTTACTACTGAAGTCAAGTATGATGTTGACTAAAATCATTGATTGGCCTGGACCCGGAACAATCTTTTAGCGCCTTCCTGACAAAGATAGGGGTCGCCAGGGACAGGAGAGTGAAGAAACCCATAAAAAGATGTAGGCCCCGGGAGGAAATTCTGGCCGCGCGTAGGGTCACCCTTCGAAAGACGAGACCCCGATATTATCGCGAGAATATGGGCGGCGAGTTCATGAAATGGGGACTCAAAAGGGAAAGCGACGGTACAAAAGGAAGGTCCGCTGGACGCGTGTAGCGAATATTCACTAGATTTGAATTTGTGGTTTTGATTCCGCAACTCGCTTTCTACTTCTCTTATCGCTCACGCAATGATAGCTTACCATGATAAGTTCCAATGCCTATCACATAAGTCATGGGACTTATGTCTGATAGGTCAGTAGAAAAAGCGAGACCCCTGTACAACGCATCGAAGATAGCGAGGCCGAGTTTCTCTCTTCTTCTTATCCGCAGCCTTTCAAACCCTAGAAATTCTCAAATTTCGGGCCTGTATAATTTGAACAAGCTAAATTCTCGAGGATCTTCAGTTTGAGGAGTACGTGTGAGTTTAGATTTAGAGTTGCGTCGTGCTGAGTCTGGATGTACGCTTCCTGACTTGTCTCTGCTTCATGGAATCCGAAGCCTCTGCTCTTTTGGCTCGACCTGTCGTGTATTTGTGATTGAATATCCAAATTATCGTTGTGTTTTTAGATTTGAGCGGTCGCTATGTCTTCTCTAAGCAGAGAATTGGTGTTCCTCATTCTCCAATTTCTGGAGGAGGAGAAGTTCAAAGAGTCTGTGCACAAGTAAGCCCCTTACTTTTGTTTCCCTCTGCCTCTTTCTGGGAAATTTGTGTGATAGATTTGAGAACATTTGTAAAATTATAAAAATAAATTGAAGATTCTCCCTCTTTTTGTGCCGAACCTTCTTCGTTTTGTTCTATGGTGTGTTCCCTATAAATTTTTTTCTTTGGTATCCCAAGGATTGGTCATTTTCCTCTTACAATTTTTTTTTTAAAATTGCTGCAGGCTTGAGAAGGAGTCTGGGTTTTTCTTCAACATGAAGTACTTTGAGGAAAAAGTCCAGGCTGGAGAATGGGAAGAGGTTGAGAAGTACTTGTCAGGGTTTACTAAAGTTGATGATAATCGATACTCTATGAAGATTTTCTTTGAAATCAGAAAACAAAAATATCTGGAAGCGCTTGATAGGTATCAATTATTGTGTGTTTGTTGAGTTTTGGCACAGTATCTATCCATACTGTAAAATTTCAAGTGTTCTGTTGTCGACCGTGTGTTTAAAATTTCAGGCAAGACAAGGCAAAGGCTGTTGAGATATTAGTAAGTGATTTAAAGGTGTTCTCCACTTTCAATGAGGATCTGTATAAAGAAATTACCCAGCTGTTAACTCTTAATAATTTCAGGTAATATCTTGAATAATGTACTTTTTTTTTATCGTGCCATGCTTGTATATGTTGTCTATTGCCAATTTCATTATATATTTCATCATTTCATCAATGAGGTAATGCCAAAAAAATAAAATGATTATTATGTTAATGTTCTTAGTCTTGAGAAGAGCTCTACTCAATAGAGTAA